TTTTTTAAAATAAAATGTGCATTATTAGATACGCTGCCAAGTTTAGGGAGACTAATCTTATATTATAATGTATCAAATTAAACAAAATTGAGTAAAAATACTTATTGCAAAATGTGAAATTGTTCTAATTTATTTTTATCAGATTACAGCTTGAAAAGGGTCCAACACGTTTATTATTGTCAAAAATGGGAAACTACCATTCAGAATGTACTATTTTGCTCGGTTATCCCCTTTGTTTGTACGAGGGATACAAGTAAAAAAATCCAACTTAACAAAGAAACGCGAAAAACACTTAATATAATATCGAGTTCTTATGTTTTCGCGAAAACAACGTTTAGGGTCCTTTACAGGTCCCATGGTTGTCAGTCAACCGTAACCATAGGACTTGTGAAGGGCCCGAAACGTTGGTTTGTATTTAAACCCGGAAAAATGGTTTCATTTCCTACACTTAATATCATATTAAGCTTTAACTGTTTTTTCGCTTCTCCGTGTAAAGTTGGCTTTTTTGACTTGTACCCTTTTTCACTAGAGCCACAGAATTATGATACATACTATATGTTACTGTGAGCAACTTTGAATCCAGTGATAATAAGAACTGATTGCAGGCATGATGTCATCGGAGGAGCCGGACGCAATGGTACCGCCGCCGCCTCCTCCCGCACCCCCTGCGCCGCCTGCACTCCCGCTGGAGCCGTCGCCACCGCCGCCTGAAGATGACCGGCCGCGCCCACCGTCGCCCGGCGCGCTGCTGCGCGGCGCCTCCGCGCTCAAGCCCCCGCGCCCGCAGGCTGATCCGCAGCCCGATCCGCGCTCCGATCTACTCAAGGCCATTCGCGACGGTATTCAATCCATTCGACGTCACACCCGAGTCGTCCCAATTATAATCTTTGCAGTACTGCCCTGCTTATTGTGAATGCAGCACTGTAGCGATTCGGAGAAAAACGATAGAAACATATTTTTAGATATGTAAAGTAACATGCATCGAGTATATAATCAGAAATAGAGACGAAATAAGGGCCATATATTCCTGGTAACACATTAGCGATATAGCTCTTATAAATATCAACTCTCGTTTGCACTGAAATATAGACCGGCCAACTGCTGACCTGTGAGTATGTCTCCATATATTCCAAAAAATATTCTGTTTTTATTGTAATAAAGATAATATATCTAACAATGTCGTGCTGTTCTATTCGGTGGTGTGGGAAAACAGCAAAACATCTAATTACAAAACAAACGGAATCACATTTCATCGGTAATTAACTATTAAATATGTAATTGCAATTTTCGTCCATTATAGCAAAGCTCAAGTTAACTGGTCGATTTGAAGTGAAACAATTGACGACACCTGTCAATTGTTTCGAACTCGGGCTGGCCAATCGGAGCGCAGTTGTTACAGCAATTATATGGCAGAATAGTTTTCAAACAAATTAAATGACATTTCGTCTCTATTTCTGGTTATACGGGCTGTAAATTTGAAAGTGGGACATATTCATACACGTCATAGAAAATCATGTTACAACTTAACATAGACTAAAATAAAATTAGGATATGGGATAAATAAAAAAATAAACCAACATATTTGTTTTGGAGTGCACATAGGAATAAAACGATCCCCTTTGCGCTTGATTTCGAGTCCAAAGTGGAACATACCAAGCGACGCCGGCGGCGGCGCGAGTCGCACGCTCCTACACACAATAACAATGGTTTCACATCTCCCTTCCTACTTTTTCGGGCTTAGGACCGACAAAGCACCTCATTTCTCAAGAAAATAAAAACTAAGTTACTCACTTACTCATTTATGTTATAATGAAAAAAGCTGTTATCGAAATGAATACGTTTTAGCTTAGGTTAATTATTTTTTTACTTAGGAACTATCATCGAAATGTTTTACGTACTATAATAAAAAAGATAAGTTTATTTATTATATTGATTCAGTAACTAGTTATTATTCAATAAGAATTGAGGTTTTTGGCGTAGTTAAAAATGTGAAATCAAATTATTTACAATGATTTTTTAGTTATTTACAGTTTATTTACACTTACGTGGTACGGAGGAATTGTTCGAAATGTCCACCGTTTTGCACAATGCATAGTCTAGCACGGCGTCGTAAATTTCGTTTTAAATTGTTTAGCACAAACACATTTTGTCTCACAGTATGAAATGCTGTAATTATTTTTTGATGCAACACTTTGACACTATTCACCTCCTCCGTGTACACTAAATATTTAATACCACCCCACAAATAAAAATCCATGGGCGTGAGATCAGGTGACCGAGGTGGCCAGGCGACTGGGCCTCCACGTCCAATCCAATGATCACCAAAGGTGTCATTCAGATACTGGCGCACTTCACGTCCATAGTGTGGGGGGGCTCCATCCTGCTGGTAATAAAGGCTTTGGTGGAGAGCAAGGGGCACGTCGTCCAACATCTCGTCCACAACGCAGTGTAACAACTGCAAATAAGTTGCACTGGTGAGACGACTCTCGATAAAGTAAGGCCCCAACAAGTGATTTCCAACTATTCCGGCCCACACGTTCAAACTGAACCGGTGTTGGAAAGAATCCCGTTTAGTTTTTTTCGGGTTGTGGTCCCGATTGCTCCACCGATGTTCGTTATGAACGTTAAACACGCCCACACGCGTAAACATACTCTCATCTGTCCATAAAATGTTTACGTGATGATTGGCCAGTAGCCATTCACAAAGTGCAACTCGCGGAGCATTGTCATTGGCCGTGATATCTTGGACCCTTCTGAAATGAAATGGGCGTAATTGCTCGCGTTTTAGAAGGTTCCACACTGTCATGTGCGACTCATTGAAGTGGCGTCCTGCCTCCCGTGTGCTAGCGCGCGGCTCCTCTTCAAAATAGTCCAAGATGCACTCCTGCAGATCCACGCTGATGCCTACATTGCCACGACCTTCAGCATTTATAGGCTCATCGAACTGGCGATAATCGCGCAGTCTTTGAGTCACAGCAAGCATCACCCGATAATTTGGCAGCGGCCGATTTGGGAACATTTCTCCGAACATTCTAATCGCTCGTCTCACACTATCACCACTTATTGCGTAAAGTCGCACCATCTCAGTCAATTCGACATTATGTATCCATTTTGCGGGCGAGAAAAGCGATCGCCGCGCGCCCGCGCTGTGATCGGGCGAGCGAAAGTACTTTACGTGTCTTCGCGAGGGCGGCCGCGCGTGCACTGTCTGATGGGCTCTGCTCCTTAATGTGCCGCGCTCAAAGAGGCCGCGCTCGCGCTAGTAGACTCGCGCTGCGTGGGAACATCAATAGGGATGTGCATGGATTTCGACGACTAATGTTGTTCACAAGCAGTAGTCGATAAAAAAATAAAAAATATTTTTTTTTGTAAAATATAAGTTCATTTTTTCTTCTTCTTTGGGTTCAGAATCAAGAATATAACGCACTCTATAAGTATGTCTCACTTTCAAATTTACAGCCTGTATACTCGATGGCAACATGTTTATGTAAATTATCATAAATATATCTGAGCTATATATAAACGACAAATTTATTAACATAAATGTGTGGCCGAATTGCCTCGCAGAGGTGCCGGGTTCGATTCCCAGGTCGGGAGAAATATTTGTATGGCCTACATTTATTTACAATCACAAATTACACCCAAACTCGCGAAGGGTGTAATTTATGGTTGTCTATGTGTGGTATAGACAACCATATCTATGGCACCCGCGATACAGGGTTCCTTAATGCGGGGCTAAAAAATATAAAAATGTTGCCTATATGTATATCGCTTTCATATATTTTATGCTAATAAACTTGTTATTTAGTAACTGCTGCATTTACAGTTAGCGGGGCAGAGCACACAAAATGTAACGTTTTCTTTTGTTATTTTTGTTCCAGGCATAAAGCTGCGGAAGGTGGAGAAGCGTGTGGACGACTCGACCGGGCGGTACGACACTCTGCGCGGCGTGCCCGCTTTCCTGGACGTGGCGTCGATTCTGGCGCGACGCGTGGCCGTGGAGCTCAGCGATACCAGCTCCGGCGCTGACTCTGACTCCGACGACTCCGAACAGTGGACGGAGAGTCGCGCGTGACGCCGCGCCTCCCCGCGTCGCGAGCCCCCGCCCAAGGACCCACCGCCCCCGCACCTGCCGCAGCCCGCGCTGCCCGCGCAACCCGCGTGTCCTGCCAGAGACGCCGTCGAGCCACCGGGCGAGGCCGTCACCATCACCATCAAGACCGAGCGCAACAACAAGGTCGCCAAGGACAGTCCTCCCAACTCGGTACGGGAGCAGGCGCAGAAGATTGAGCTGCTACAGAAGCAGCGGTCGTCGTCTATAGAGAAGGAAAGGACCGACGACCAGTGCTACGTGCGGAATTCATCGTTCTTGAGTCGGGACATCGAGGCGCAGAAGGGCAAGGAACGGAATATGGGCAAGGAGACGCCTCCGAAATCGGTTTCGCCTCCGAAATCGGTTTCACCCCCGAAGACTGCATCACCCGCAAAGACTTCTCCACCTAAGAATGTGGTGTCTCCGCCGAAACGAGAGCCAGCTCCGGCTAAGAGCGTTTCCCTTCCGAAACAGAACGTGGCGTCCCCACCTCCTGTCAGTGTTGCGAAAAGTACTCGCTCTGATGTGACGCTTGACGAAAACTCGGTCGCTGCTAAAGCTAGCAAAATTGAAGCAGCCGCCCAGTCTAATAAAGAAGTAACATCTCCTCCTGTATCTCTGGTGAAATTTAATAGAACCGATTCAAAAGAAAGTTCTGTACCTCCTAAAGTACCTAAAAGGGAAAATTCACTCGGAAAAGAAGTACCCGCTAAAACGGAATTATCTGTTGCTGCAGATAATAGCAACGTAACAAGTAATGTAAAGAGTGACTCTAATAGTAACTTGAGTTCAAAAGTGAAAGAAAACGCAGATAAAGATAAAGAAGTAGCTGGGGTTGGAGATAAGATAAAGAAATTCGAAAAGGCAGCAGAGGATGCTAGTGCCAATGTAGGTAGACTGTCGAGACCTGGTTCTGTGCGTGGACGATCGCGTACAGAAAGATTGGGATCAGATGGTAAAGATGATTTTCCCCCACCTGCCACACCTTTCAAAGATAATGTGCACTTTGATTTGGGGCCCGTGGAGAAAACCGACAAAGTTTACCCAGAGCGCAAACAATGCACAACAAAAACTACCTCACCAAATGTTACGACCGCGACAGCAAAGTGGCAAAGGAGCGATAGTCACGAAGAAAAAGTAATTCAAAAGCCTGAACCTCAGAAAATAATAAAGCCCGAATTCAAGCCTATGCCGTCATCGGTGGATGTCACCATTCGTTCGCCCAGTCTCGGGGCCAAACTGCCCGATCAATTTCCCTCTCACGGCACCGCATTCCGCAATGTGGCCTCGCCCGACCAGGCTCGCAACGTTCACAAATTCAACGAAGATTTAAATACTCAGAATAATCTTAAGCCTTGTAAATTAAAAAATAAGGAAAAGTATTCTGTTAGTAAAGGATCTAGTTACTTCACTCGTGGGTCCGAAGAAATATGGTTGGTAAAAAAGAAAGACATTGAAGAGATCGAAGAGAGAGTATTGGATTCGTTCCGTCGCGCAGGTGGCAATGTTTGTTTGAGGAGTGAGTCGATGCGTCCCTCGTCGGACAGCGGGCAGGGAGCTTCGTTCACTCATGCTACTATGGGACGGAATAAACGCCAAATGTATGCCAGGAGCGAGTCGTTAGATCCTCAGTGGGCTGGGGCACGTGCGCAGACATTGAAGCGGCAAACATCGGTAGCATGCACTTGCGGCCATGATAAGAAGACTAGAGCTAAAAGTGCCGGGGCGGATGCCACAGCAAGGCCGCGTTCGCGCTCGCACGGCGACGACAACAATCAGGGCCATGTTTTGGATAAGTATGAAACGCTCGTGTAGTACGCGCCTTTAGACAATGACCACACGGATGTTGAATATTAAACGCAGGTTTGGGTGCAAGAAGGAACCATTATTCTTGCCACGAAACGATTTAGATAGGATATTGCGTTAAAAATGAGTGATGTAAAATTGGATTATAAAGCACGATAGGTAGTTAGAAATAATGATGGAATATCGTTTTGTGGCAGATTGGGATTAGTGGTGACGCAGCATCCGTGTGGCCAAGGTCTAAACTCTTTTCTTTTCCATACACGTAATGCGGTTCGATAGTATTCTTGTAAGGTAAAAACCTTTGAAAGAAAAACAAAAGTAGTGACGAAAGTTTTAGAACTGCTATGGACTTGCGAACGTGCAAAACAGCGGATTGTATGGATAATTCATCATAACGTAATTATTACATAATCAATGTGTCGTATTGATTCGATATTAACTTATAAGCTGAAAAGGATTGGCTAGTCTCGCGAGTGATGCTAGGATTTTAGGAGCGCGAAAAACGTTGATTGATAACCAAAAACTAACGATATTTTAATGGACAAAATGCATAAATTGTTAGGTGTAGTGAATGAGAAATTAACTTCCCTGTTATAACGATTTAAAGGAAGTGTGTCCGTCTATTTGTTCGCTTGATTGTTCTTTGAATTTCGCGGCGCTTAGCACTCGATATTCTTTGAAAGTCGGAATGAAAGTCACGTTTTAAAAGTACGAAAAGCTGGCTTTCCGCCATACTAGGGGACTGTATTTGGGCTCGTAATATCCATTTATATTGGTAATGTTTAAATTTGCGATTTTCTCACCCTCCCATTTGAGCACAATCTTTTGACAATGGTGCTTCGCTTGTTAAATTATATAAACATTTCACTATGTTTGGTTAGCGGTTGTGAAATTATGTTTTGAGATTTTAAGGGTATTTTTATTTATGAAAACTTATATGGAAGTGAATGAATATAATATTATTATGAAGTAACTAGTCGACAGAAAATCTAGAACTTACTCTATTGCAAAATGTATTATTACAACTAACCTATTTTACTTGTTGAATTTATGTTCTTGTGCTATTTATCGAACAAGTATTCTTTGATATTGCAATTGCTAATAAGAAATCTGAAAATATTATGATAAAAGGTGCAATTTCATTTTTACGTATCTACCAAGTTTAGATATATTTAGATGCTATATATGTAAGGATCCATTTCTAAAATTAATAATTTTGTAATTTCATATAAGGGTGATCTGTGTGTAGTGCCAATAATAACTATATATTATCAGTAACTTCCATTTGATATTGAAAATTGTATTCATCTGTTAGTGGGCATGTATTTACATTTTGTTTATTGTACTCCTGTCTTTCTAAGAAGTTTAGTGTGTTGATGGTTTTTTCATTTGTATGTTTGTATAATCATGTTCATAGTCCGAGTGTATAAATTTCTTCTATAATGGCATTTATTGCATGTCTTGTCTATATCTATGCATTCCAAAATATTAGTTGCTCACTACCCAAACGATTTAATGTGTTATTGTTAAATGAGCAACGAATGTGTACCAAAATCTGTAGTTTTGTACCTAGCTAGACGTAAGTACGATTCGTTAGTACCTTTCTTATGATTTATTTTTTACACTACCTGATTTTTTAATCTTATAAAAAAGCCTTGGTGCATACGAAGTAATATTTATGTTTTCGATTACAAATATTTTTATTTGGTTTTCGTGGAACTGAGTTAAATTGTATTAACCTTGAATTTATCTATTGTGTAAGTGAAAACTAAGCCCCGTACTTTTGTACATATTTATATCTAGTAACAAGTGACATAACGCTACAAAAGGTAATTAACCAACCCAAGTAAATGTAGTGTAAAGTAATAATCTCAAACTCTTTCTGGATATTATTGTTTTCGTTGCATATAAGTGGTACACGAGCAGCATTATTGTAGTATAGTATAGCGTACGATCACTATAAGTAGTAAGAAATGTAAAGTATAGGAATAAGAAATAAATAAAGCATGTTTTATATTATGTAGATTACGTAAAGCCTCTTTTATTTTTTGCCATGAAGTGGCAATTGCTGATTATTTATTTGCATTTTTCTTAAAAGTTTATAATTTTTAAATATTATAAAATTTTAAGCTAGTTGTCGAGTCTTTAAAACGATTCAAACTTTATTTGCGATGTGATTTGTGTTATATAAATGGCTTGTGCGAATAAAGCCGAGAATAATAATTCTCGATATGGAATTTATTTTAGAAAATTTGATTCTGCAAATTTAACAGGAATCAGATCGCAATTGTTTATTAAATAAAAGTACTTCGTATCCCGGACTATAATCTCATGTCTAATGAAGAAATATTTTATAAATTGTTTATTTGCTAATACAATATAAGTTAAAATAAATAATTGTTGTAGTTTTATTTCTTTCATGCTAGTGTTCTTAGTAGATGTAATCAGTTATTAGTAAAGAGATTGCATTCCAACCATTATTTGCATTTCAGACGAAGCGCCCTATACCAGCGTGATAATGGTTGAGTTTTTGAAATTTGACCAGTCAGGTGAAATTGTCGACATTAAGCCTGTTGCAGTCACATACACACACATATTTTTCTTCATGTACGATTTTTCTACGAAAATATACCTATCAGTTCAGTTAATTAAGTATCCAATACCTTCTAAACAAAGGAGTGACTAACTCTAAAATTTTGCACCTAGAACCGACTAATTCACGACCTTTTCTGGGTGCAGTCAGTGTTAGACGTTAATCAATTAAATTTCAATCAGAAATTCAATCAAATTAAAAAATCAAGTCAATTGCAATTGATTTCAATTGAATTGATTTTAATTGCAATTAATTTTTAATTAATAACAATTGATCAATCGTTAATTGCTGTTTCGGAATTGACAATTAATTAATTGTCACCACACGCAAAATAGGCGCTTTGTCGTCAAGTTGCGGATACCAGCCCGTTGCACCAAGTACCAAGTAATTAATTGTCAATCGTTAATTGCCAGAACAATTAAATTTTGCCCAACACTGGGTGCAGTGTTGAGAGAACCTATTTTCGAGATTCAAAAATAGTGCCGTCGGCGCTGGAGTAACCTTGTTCCAGTGTATATAGTAAAACATCCTTATAATTTTCAAACGGCATAATGATCAAATTTAGTTTTTTACGACTAGAACTGACTAAATCAATTTTTTTAGTGTAGTCAGATCTAAGCTAGGCACTGTGATTCTCGACAGTAAAACATCCTTATAGATTTTGAACGGCGGAGGGCGGTTTTTTGCTATTAGAACACATTGGAAGCGACTTCTTAGTAAAATTTCATAAACTCAACCATATAATAGAATAAGGCACGCACCTTGAAATGAAGCTATCCATAGAGGAATTGATAAAAATATTATGTAGGGCTTAGAATAATACCGCATAGAAACCCAGTCCGCACACGCTAAGTGAGGCAAATTGAAGCGCTCCCAATGGGCCTACACGAGCGGGCGGGCCGTCAGTGCTCAAGGTCAACTTGCACCGCGAACAGCTCAAGAATTTTAGCTAAAAATGACGAAATGTGCGGTAAATGAGTGTAAAAATACGTTAGACAAACATAAATAGATACTAACATCACATTCCACAAGGAAGTAACGCGTTTCAACTTGTATTTTTATATAAATATTCACTAAAACCGAAAATTAACCTACTACTAAAACTAGCCTACATGAATTTGATTTTTGCCTCACTTGTGACAGTTCCTTTGATATGAAACTATCATTCTATGCGTTATTATTCTAAGATGTAGGGTACGTACCCTTCTTGTAGGTGATTCTTGTAGGTGGTATACGTATGCCACCTACAAGAATAAACACAATACGCAATAAAGTACTGCATATCCAGGGGATGCGTCTTAAAGCGAAAGTGTGGTGATTCCTTATTCTGTCCTCGTAACGAAAAAAGGCACAAGTATGCGTACTTTATACAGCAGTTGTGCCTTTTTTCGTTCTGTGGGCAGTATTGCTACATAAAATACCGATAGCGCTCTAAATACATCGCGCGAGTAGCTGTAAAAATCGCAGAATGCAAGCATCGAGTATATAAGTAGCTCTAATGCTGTACAGGCTTATCTCGAGATGATGTAATAGTATTATAGCACTATTTATTTATTTTTACAAATCGAAGTTATTTGTCCCAGTTTTATAATTCCCGCTAAAACAGCGTCACTTTTGAATTTTGTCTTACTTCCGGCGTTTCAAAAATTCCATTACACGCTAAAGTGATTAATGTGTTTTTGGATATTAATGGAACACTTTTATTAAAATATTAATTTCTTTAATAAATAATGGTAAATTTTGATCATAAATAAGCAGGAAAATACTACATGTATTTTATTTATGATATAAAATCTACGAAGCATTTAAATTATAAATTATTGTTTGAACAACAAGTAGTTGGCAAGGTAGTGTGATCAGGAACGTAATTACCATTCGCTTGTCTGAAAAATTGCATTGCATTTTTACTGATTTTTAGATTTTCTGAAGTTTTTGGTGGTTTTCGTGAGTTTTAAGTGAAAGTGCATGAACTAAATGTTGAAAATTGTGTAGCAGGAGAACGCGAAGTAAATTAGGAGTATATTAGTAGATTTAGAACACTGTTTTCTTTTAATTTGGCGCCGCAATCTTTCATTTTTATTATAAAGAGGATTCGTTACGAAATATTGCAAAATGACTTCAGCTCTTTATCTGGAGCATTACTTGGACAGCCTTCAGCACCTGCCGATAGAGTTGCAGAGAAACTTCAAATTGATGAGAGATCTAGACGATCGGGCGCACGGGTTAATGAGGACAATTGACCTTATGGCAGATGAATTGCTGCCGAATATTCCGAAAATGGACGAGGAGACGAAAAAGGAAAAAGTGAACACCATTCAAGGATTGTTTAACAAAGCTAAAGAGTACGGGGATGATAAAGTGCAGCTCGCAATACAAACCTACGAGCTTGTAGACAAACATATTCGTCGCCTTGACTCAGACCTTGCGCGATTTGAATCGGAGATTCAAGAAAAAGCTCAGAGTGCATCGCGTGCCGGCCAACAGGCTACAACTGACCAAGAGAGCAATACAACAACTGTAAAGAAGGGTAGGAAGAAACATAAAGGCAGTGAGAAAGCTGCTGCAAGCACTGGAAAGAAAAAGCGTGCGGGCGCGTCAAGCGAAGACGATGCAGCAGCAGGCCGCTCTGCCGCCAAGAAGAAGGCGTCACGCAAAAGTGCGTCCTCTACAGCTAGTGCGGCTAAAGAACAGGAAGAAAATGCAGACCTGGATTCCGTGGGAATGGCTCACCCTAGTGATGTGCTTGACATGCCAGTAGATCCTAATGAACCCACATATTGCCTATGTCATCAAGTGTCATATGGAGAGATGATAGGCTGCGACAATCCTGACTGTCCCATTGAATGGTTCCATTTCGCATGTGTAGATCTTAAGATCAAGCCTAAAGGAAAATGGTATTGTCCTAAGTGTACTCAGGATCGGAAAAAGAAATGATCCATCGAGAAACCTGTTATTAAAACAGAAAAGACTGTGACAATTAAGAAAGAGATCAAGAAAGAGCCGAAGTGACTTTACGAGTTAGTTTAGGCAATATGTGTAATTTTATTAGTAGTAAAGTTAGGGGCATCCGAGGATATTAAATCTGATACTTTATAAAATGATATTAAATAAAAGTCTTTTCAACATTTTTATTACATTCATGTATTACATATTTTTTAAGTATGCCTAAAATTAATTTTCTCATGGGCAATTTCAATAAAATTAATTATAGATTTTATTTACAATTTTTAGGAACTGAAAATCTTCCTATTCTTAATAATGCATTTATTTGGAGTAATTATTTTAGTTTTAGTGAAATATTTTTTGAAAGTGTACATATTGAAAAGGTTTTGCATTTGATCGTGTAATATCCTACATACAGGGTGAGTTTTAAGTGTTTAAAATAATGTACTCTAACATTGTGCAAGAACTTGCCAGGGCCGTCTAAAAAGGCCGCATTGACAGAATGATATTATGATTCTGTCAATGCGGCCTTTGTAGGCCCACTATATGGTACCACACTGCATACTTAAAGCTTTTGTCACCCTTTGCTATTAATATCAGTATTGTATTGCAGTAACTTTTATAGGCTTTTTATTCAAAGTTGATTTTTGGCACAGTCAACATAACATTACTTACTTGTTACAAGTAAAGATTAGCAGTAGACAGTAATATTCTGTTTTCTTTATTTTTTTGCCCATTAGTCTTATTTATTGTAGTTTTTTGACATGTCAGGTTATCCATCTATTTATTAAATTAAATAATTTTTACAAATATAATTGTAAACAAATGATTATTGCATAATATTTTTATATATTGTTCTGTAATTTATTGAGTAATTAGGTAATTGATTTTTGTTTTATGTAAATTAGTGAGTAGAAGAAAAGTCAAGTAAATAAAAAAACCATTTCTAAGTACATTATATATTATCCAGATATGGCTCATTGATGTTAAGTTTGGACTAAATAATTTGGATTAAATATTAAATCTATGAGACCTATATATGGCCACTGCTTGAATATGGACATCAAGTCTAGAGCCCTTATTTCCTAAAAGACGTAAACCTTAAAAATGTTCAGAGGATGGCAACTATAACGCCACAGGCTCTTCGAAGCCAATCTTATGAGGAGAGACTACGCATATTACGCCTTACTAGTCTGGAAGAAGAGATTTATAATATTCTGATGTGTCACTACGATCTACCAGACATACAAAACATCTTTAAAAGAAAACTTTAAACCATCATGTGTCACCACAATCTCAAACTAGTTTATGCACCTTCCGAAACACCTGCTACACACAATTTTTTTCAGCAACAGAGTGGTGCATAATTGGAATATGCTACCGGAAGATGTTGTTTCTATTGTCTCTGTTAACACCTTCAAAAACAAGCTCGATAACTGGCTACAAAAAAATGGATTAGTGCTAAAAAAGTGAAATAAAAGAAATAATATAAATTCCAATACTGTATGATGTACACATACCAGCAAAAGCTGCTTGTATGTAATCAAATAAATAAATAAATAACTACCACACATGTCAAAGTGCACAAAGTGTAAAATTTTTAATTCAATGGCCCAATAAACTTGTATACATATGTGTAATAAATGTGTAGATAATACATGTTTATTCAGTGCGGTCAATGAATTGCTATAAGATACAATTAAAAAAAAACATTAGACTATATTTATTACTTTATTCTTGGCTGACCATGCTATTTGATCCGTAAAATATTAAAAAAAGAAGACTGTGTAGAAATATTGTAATTAAACACCAAATCTGTAGACTTTTATATCTTAATTTCTAATATAAAATATGACTTCCCTTTAGTATTAGTATGTAGTAGAAATTTGAGTTAGGAATATAATATTATCACAGTCTATCTATATACAAAATATAATGACATTAGGTGTTAATAAAAATGAATTATTTTTTGTTATTGCCATTTTGTGTGTAATAAATAGATAAACATTTTAAAACATTTTTTATATTTTTGTTTTTGTCTAGTAATCTATAAAAAATAAAATTAACAATTCAATTATCAATAGCGTTTTCGCTTTTTTTGTTACCAAGTGACGGGATGAAGAAGTCGTGCGCCTGGTGGTAAGCGATACGTCTGTCCAAGGCAGTTGCAGTGCCACTCAGAGCTTTAAATCGTAAAGACCTGAGGGACACTGCTCGCTGAGACAACTTGACAAGTACCATGTGCCCTTACCCTTCAATACCGGAACGCAGTAATGCTCACATCTTGCTTACCTATTTCTGCTTGGCGGCAGAAATAGGTAAGGTGGCAGTCCCTGGACGAACTCTTTTTGAATGAGCTCTACTGCTAGATCTTTGTGTAAGGATTCTCCAAAAATTGATTGGAAAACATCTCCACCCTATTTCGTATTTTTCGTTCAATTACATATCTTAGGGTCGTATTTCAGAACTGTACTCAATGCTCAAGTCAGGATTTGAGCTGACATGAGTATGATTTCAAGCACTGGAAATACGACTCTAATGGCAAGGACTTGAGTATGATTTTCAGTGCTCACTGCAAAACTCAAGTCCTGACTTAGCATTGAGTAGAGTTCTGGAATACGACCCTTAGTAATGCGACTGTGGCGCCACCTATAGACTATATTGAAAACTTGCATGAGATGAACGCAACGATACCTATATATAGTAAGATTGAAGTCTCTGTTATGTATGTACGTTGTCCATGTGTCCATGTGTTAGAGTGTTCTCTGAACTCCTTTATTTTTTTCCCTCTTTTAAGCTGTGAACGATGCCGATGATCATAAATAGGTACGTAAAAATCATTGTGTGAACGTAACTGCGCATCGACTAAATACTATTTTGCGAATAGCCATAATATGATAATAACTTGATTGTGGTGACTGAGAATTGTGAGAATTAAGCTAAAGAAGTCGTGATTTAGTCGGCTCTAGTCGTAAAAAACTATGTTTAGAAGTCACGCCGTTTTAAACTTACAAGGGTTTTTTAATTTCCACGCAGGAATAACCTTATTCCGGCGTTAAAGCATTGTTCAATCTCGAAAACCACAGCTCTTAGCCAAAATATGATTGCATCAAAAAAGCAGAAAAGGTTTGAATTTGTGCGTTCTAGTTGGATCAATAACTCGAGCATGGCACACTTTAGCTTTGTCAGTCAGTTATAGCATCTCATTTAAATGCATATACCATGGCTTAAATTAAATTTTAATTCAGTGAATATTTTGTCAATAATTTAAATGCAATGCAAACCCAAATACTTTTAGTCGTTCGTTAATTATTTTAAGTACCATAAAGGTATAATTATTTCGCGGCAAAAAATGTACGCGACTGGAACCCGCTCTGTGAGAGCAAAAGCTCTAAAGTTGCGTCAGAAATGATCGAGGAATTTATGCACTTGCGTCAGATATTTAAAGGCGTTTAAATTTGCTTTTTAGAATTTTACATATAAGACGAAGAAATAAGTAGACAAGAAGAGGAAGTAAATTAATTTCGTTAAAAATGAGAAACATGTAAATACATATAATAATATTATGTAATTGACCTTTAAAAACCTTGGCCTTTAAAGTAATATTTTTCACCCTCAATAGTAAAGTGATATAATTTGAAAAGTAATTCCTGGGAAACTGACAAAATTTTTGCATAAAAAAAGTTCATATCTCCAGCCAAATATGATAAAATTATATTTGATGTGATAAACAATTATGTTCGTTTTATTTTCATACGTTATTTCTTTGAAAATAAGGGTTCTGGTTAATACACTTATGTATTAGTAGTACCTAATAGAGCTCCCTGTGAAAGAGTTCGTTCAGGGACCTGCCACATTACCTATTGCGGCATCCAAGCAGTAATGTCAGCGTTAATCCATTCCGATTTTAATGGGTAATGGTGCTGGTGAAATTGCAGGCACATGGGACTTGTCAATGTCTTAGGGTGACGGGCGCAGTGGCATTGTCCCTTAGATCTTTGTGATTAACGATTGTTCGTCCAGTCACTTGGTATCATACAGAAAAAAACTTATGTATGGTAATGAATGTTAGATTTGGCAGAAGGAGCACGAAGGTAGAGAGAGTATAGTGGAAATGGGAGCTTTGAGAAGTATGGCTGGAATGCCTCTGTCGGATAAAGATGGAGCGCATTGCGGCCTAGATAGAACAAGATGTATTAACAAATATGTAGAAAGGGATGCTTGGATGGTTCGGACAGGTACCCTCTTTTCAACAATGAATAAAAAAAAATCATCAAAATCGGTTCATAAATCGGCGAATTATCGCGTAACATACATACGAAAAAAACACTCGAATTGAGAACGTTAGAAAGAAAGGCCAGCTCAAGAGTACCCTTCACCCATGAGCACGTATGAAAGCACTGATGCGTGTTGGCGAGGCGAAAGATGTGTGTCAGGATAGGAGCAAATAGAACGCTGTAGTCTCTGCCTGACCGCCCTGATTTTAATTCAAATCGAAATCGATGCGAACGGGTAGCCCATCCGCAATATTATACGCCTCGACTCGGAAAAGACGCAATTTCCGATCGGGAGAGGTAATCAAAATCAAGCTGCTGATAGGATAATGTCAGTACAGAGTACTAAAAAAACCGACCTCAAAAGTACGTGGAATTACGTCTATTTGCTAAGTTTTATTGAAATGTCCTTAAATTCGCCACTATACAGGACTTGACACTGGAGATAATAAAAATCGGTTCTCATTACTCAAAGTATATTGAGAGAAGAACGCCTTGAATTGGAGAAATAGCAAAATTAACCATTAAAATAATTGCTCCTTATGTAAAATTTAGGCGCTATTTATAAAAATGAATCTTCATGCGTGGACAGCCACCCTTACAGGTGGATGATTGTCTTCAAAATGAAATGGGACCACTATGAAAGTACCCCTTTTCCAACAAAAAAAGAATCATGAAAATCGGTTCACAAATACCGGAGTTATTGCGTAACGTACATACAAAAAAAACATACAGTCGAATTGAGAACCTCCTCCTTTTTTGAAGTCGGTTAAAAAGGGCGTGAAACAGTATGTTGTACATTACAACAACCATAGTATTATCTCAAAAATTGCGTTACTTATAAGTCATTCGTATACGACTTCCATTCAAAGTGACAGGACAACACTGGCACTCTGAAATTTTTAACATAAAATATAATATAACGCAAATTTTGAGATACTACTATGTTACTTGGTATGTGCGATGTATGTACGTAATTTTTTTTCCAACAAAAAATGTTACTTTTCATATTAACTTACTTTTATATTAAGGGTGCAATTTGTTTTAATAAATCTGATTACTAAATGAATTAACGGCTACAATTTAGATGCGTAATTTGAAATACGTAAGCTCACGGTCATATCAAGTACTTATCTGTTTTATGTTTTTGTTTTCACTAATTATTGCTTTTCGTCACCCAGACGTATAAATATATTTTTGTTATTAAAAAGATATGTCTATAACATTTTTGGGCTGACCTTCACCTCGTAGTAATTCCTGATTCGATATTAATTTCGAATGAACGTAGTAATTTCTGAATCGATATTTATTTATTATAATTGTATGAGGCTCTGTCTTCAACACGTTACAATTTATTAGATATGTATAGATATATGTTTACACTTTATTGTTCAAACACAAGAACAAACACTGTACATAAAACAACTTAAAAGTAATGTGGGCAACAACGGCTTTATCGGTAAGAGCGATCTCTTCCAGGCCAACCAGAGCGGGAGACGTAGTATGCCAACGGTTAAAATGTTGTGTAAATGAACAAAAAATGTATGAAAAATAACTTTCATTATAGTATACCTACGTAACCTACGTAGACGTATATGTTTGTATGTATAAATACAGGGTTATGTTTTAAATAACAACAACCACGCAGGACTATATTAACAACGTTTGTTTCATGACTTTGTACAAAACAATAAATTTACAAAAAACAATTTGTAAGTCTTTGTTGTATTATCTGACACTTTTTGTAAATCTGTGTTTGGTAGAATAAGGGTCGTATTCCAGAACTCTACTCATTGCTCAAGTCAGGACTTGAGCAGACTTAAGTATGATTTCAAGCACTGGAAATACAACCCTAATGGCAAGGACTTGAGTATGATTTCTAGTGCTTTGAATCATGCTCAAGTCCTGACTTGAGCATTGAGTACAGTTCTAGAATACGACTCTAAGTTTAGTTTAAACGTGTAAGCGTCCTCCGCGACCCATGCCCGTCTTACCGTGTATATCTATTTAAAATCTATTTATTTTTATATGAAAGTAAATATGGTTTCCATATACTCTTATACCTAAATAAACTTATACGTACTATTAAAATATATACATGTTGCAAACTAGCGCCGTACTTTTATTTTGATTTTATTTAAGCAATAAGTTATTGTTAATTTTATCTTCTTAAATTCTAATAATTGGAATACTTTTCCCCATTTCATTGTTTGAATAAATTTACACAGGTACTACTGGCATCCGCGAGATGTATGTATAGCTAAGCAACCTGTACTTATCCATTATCGATGCTGGCCGAAACTCAGAGAATTCTGTTTTACATATGAAATAAAACAATTTTTCCGGATGTCAATCGCATATATTTGTTTTTTCAAGCAAACCAACGTGACCAAGGGCCCGAAACGTAAGAACTCCAGATTCTGTTTTAGTCAGCAGCTGTACTTTAAAAGCAACAGCCTTTTCCTATGTAAAATGTAATACTTCCTAAGTAGAGTTTACATACTATACACATAAGTGGACTTATAGTAAGGCTTTTGGAACCGTCTAATATCTATCTACTTAAGTTTTGTTTATAGTGCTCTCCGTATCTATCTTCTGGTCATTCGGGAAGGTCACTATTACCTATACACGTAAACGCGTACAGGGACCTTATCAGTCTGGGGGGCTACTCTCGATCTCCGTCTGACATCCGTCCGAAACAATTACTGTCAAATAAGTAATATTCGACAAAATTAGAAGACAAGTATCCAGTATGAAGCTTCATTCGCATTACGCGTCGTTTCATTTGGTCAAGTATTGCTTATTTGGCAGTAATTGTTTCGGACGGATGTCAGACGGAGATCGAGATTAGACCCCCAGGTCCTGACCGCAGATCAGCCCGTTTACACAGACTTTATCCGGTGCTCAAAAGACTAGTGCGTACAGCGGGCGACGTACAGCAGCGCCTTCCTGTTGTCTAAATAGATACCGAAGACGTTGGCTTTTTGGGACAATGTTTTTTATTAAGGAGCAAGTGCATACCATAAATGCAATGATGAAGATAGATTGGGGTATTGACGTGGTCGATTTTAGGCAACAGCGTCAATACTCAATAATATTATTTTAGTACATTACAATTTTTTTAATGATGAAAATGCTGTTAAAAATTACGTTATATATTTTATTATATACCATGTTCTTATCACTGGACAAAGTTCAATATACCAGCTGCAATTAATGCGTAAAACGAAGGTAATCTTTTAAAAACCAGGCTATCATTTATCACTGAATGAGAGTATGATTTCACATTATTCTAATTGTAACTAAACTTTGTTATGAATGGTTCGCAATTCACGAATAACAAAAGTGATAAGAACATAGTACGTAATTATAAATAGTGTAACTTTTAATAGTATTATTATAAAAAAAAAACTTTGTTCTATACTTTTTTCAAATTTATACAGATTTTGAAGACGCACTACTGCAATTTTTTTATAAATACTTACATATTAATATTACATAATTAGAATATATTGCTACAAAATCCATACTAATATTATAAACGCGAAAGTAGCTTAGTCTGTTACGTTTCGATGCCTCAATCCCTGAACCAATATTAAGGAATTTTGGTGTAGAGATAGATGGGATGTAGGAGACGGACATAGGCTACTTTTTGTCACAAAAATAAATCTTAAAGGGGGGTGAAATAAGGAACGAAAGTTTGTATGGAGAAGTAATAAAACTATGAAATTTAAAAGTACAGTAAGCTATTCGAGTTATACTACTCAGGCGAAGTCGGGCACCAGCTAGTTACAAACATTTTTTTTATTGGTTCACCAACAACTTCTTACTTAGTGTAAGTACAACTAGGAAAGTACAGTATTGGTTTAATGCTAAGTACAACAGTTAATTACAGGTTATAATTGTAAACACGCAATGAAATATATTCAGATTAAATAGTAACTACGTCTGATTATTTAACAATATAAAATAAAAAACAGAAACGAAAAAGTATCTACTTATTTAACAATTGCAGAGAACAAGCGTGCGGAACTTGCTAAGTCTACTAATGTGAAACATTGTGACCTTTTGGGTATTTATTTTATTTTATTATATGGTACAACTATAGGTAACAAACTACATATAATACTTAGAACTATTACAATGTAGCATTATTATTATTATATTATATTATTATTAATATATTATTAGTACGCAACGTTAATTGTTAGGATAATATTATAATAAAAGAAAGGAAGGAAAGACGCATTGATCTGAAAAACGTTAAACAAAATAGTGATGCTATTTTTTGCTTATATTACGTATTATATTTTATATTATTAGTATTTTGTAAGTGTGTATGTGGTGAATGTTACATTAATAAACAATTGTGTATGTTTAATTTTAGTACGCATTTCACACACACGTTTTACTCAATGTTTTTATACAAACACCATATAGAGTACACACACGGTAAATAAAGATAATGTATAACTGCAAAAATCCTGTATAAATATGGTTGTGTGTAAAATAAACGCAATTATAGTAGTAGTTAACGCGCAGGCGTCACACACAACTCAGGGGGTTGTACTAGAGGCTGCGTGTGCGCACCGCACCAGGCGGACTGAAGCTTCGCGCGGGAAATATTGCTGTCCATAAAATTTAAAAAATAATTTATAAAATTTAAATTAAACATATTTGTAGATATTCAATAATTGGTATAACAACAAATAAATCATAATGACAACGTTACTAAGGCGGATGTGGAGGAATCACTCGAAGCACAAAAGTGAGTATTGTTTTTAAATTTTATTTTAATATATTATATTTCAAGGTGCACCTTATATTTTATTTTATGTTATACATCTTATTAAAAAGTTCTCTAAACAATACATTTTTTAATAATCACAAATAGACGTAAATTTTTCGTGTTTTTGTAAAGTATATTGTAATAATTTTTTTAAAATAACTAAGTATGTTTTATACTTAAATTTACCATTGCGTTATTATTATTATATGATTACAAGATGTTCTTTATCATCTACTTAAAACCGTTAGTACTTTTATAGTAAGCTGTTTTGGACTGTATTCTTGGGCCTTTATTTCTTAATATCAAAGACTTCCTATACTAATTCCATAGATATTGTTGCCTATTATAATAAGAAATGTTTTCTTATTTTCACATTTTGATCTTGGAATCTTTGGTAATTTTTGTTAAGAGTCTATAACACTCCACATTTGAAAAATTTATATCGTGTATACGTATTCTATTTAGTTAAGTTCATTTAAAAAAATATTCATTGGTAACGTATCTATTGAATACGGCGGTTTTCTTGTAAAATTTCGAGGTAAGTTTGTGTTTTTCTTTTATTGAGAAAATTTTTACGAATCGTGTTTGCACACCGTATAATAATCAGTGTATATCCTCAATTTTCCAAATTCAACACTTTCACTGTTATGCGGAATCAATTGAAACAATTTCAAGTTGTAAAAGGGTTCGGACGACTTCGAAACACTCACTTTCGTAAAGTATTTTGAGTTCTTTTAACATGGCATTAGAGCACTAGATAAGATTATAACAGAAGCATTACAGGTTATCTTGCATAAAAAAATACTCAATCTTGTTTACTAAGGTCTTAGAAAGCATTAGAATGTTAACAGTGTTTGTATACTGAACACTAGACGACAATGTATAATAAAATTTAAACAAATATTGCAAATATTGTCAACCCTACGTCTTAAGACGCACTAGGTCCGGGTTTCTCTCTAATTACTCAGGAATTAGGAGCTCTCTAACGCCATCAAGGTCGCCCTCGCCTTATCTGTAAACCTAACCTAGGCTGTCTGGGCATTAAGAAAAACTTGCCAGAGCGCGTCTTGTGTGGTAAGAGTTCCGTTGATATTTATTTTTAGGAATCAATGCTGTTAGATATTCATAAGAAAGAACACAGAAGGGTAAAGAAAATAGAGTTGCATTATTATTCAGAAAATTAGAAGAAATGAGGTTTCGTTTCGTGAATTAAATAGTTAAATGGTTTCGTGATGTCTATTACATAAAGTATATTCGACTTTGACAGGTTATATAAACGTTTAATTAACCGACTCAAAAAAAAGGAGGAGGTTCATCATTCGCCTGTGTTTTTTTGTATGTGTGTTACGCGATTGCTACGACATTATTTTGTGAATCGATTTCGATGATTATTTTTTTGTTGAAAAGGGAGTACCTCAGCAGTGGTCCTAGTCTAATTTGAAGAAAATATTCCACATCTAAGGTGAGAAATTAGTGGAGGAATTCGTTTTATTGGATTTCACCCACTTCCCGTTTATCGATTTCAAAACGTGACAAATAGATGTAATGCCACAAACTTTTGAAATAGGTTTCTTTTATAATAAAAAAGCTATAATTATTTGTTTAATTATTTAGCTTTAGATACACTAGTAATATAATATCGACAGATTTATTGTAAAGCTTTCACATTAGTAATAATAAAGTATATATTTGTGTATAATACATCGACCTGCTAATGTTAATTTTCTTTTTATTATTTTGCGAAATAACGTCCTTGATCTTTACATCAATCTAAGATACCACGTAGGTGATAAATTATTAATCAAAGAAAGCTCTATCTAGCTGGATGGCATTTCTGTAAAATCACCTTACGAGCAGATAGGGCAAAAACGCTACTGCCGCGAAAGCTGCGCGTGATCCGTTTTCCAACAGATTGGCTTCCAATGTTCTGTATCCATTATTAATGTATGTAAATAGAGTCCATTGGTAAGTTGTTGAGAAACCGTAGATTATTGAGGGGAAAAATAGTTCAATCAATCAATCAACGTCCTATCGAATTTTTTTTGTCCAAAATAACGTATTTGTTCGAATTTTCATTACACCGAAAACCGAACTATAACGAAACAGTTGTTCTTTCAGAATATGTTGAATGTTTACCGTAAAGACACGATTAGGTACGGTTAGGTTAGGTTAAGTCTAAAAGAAAAAACATTTTCCTCTAAAATTACTTTCGAGGTTATGATATTTCGACCAAACGTTATTTCTGGAAAATGTCATTTCGGATTACTGATCGGTAACCGTCCCACTGCTGGGCACGGGTCTCGTGAGGTGAGGGTTTAGGCCAGTAGTTGGGGACTTCACTCGTTTTCCGAGGGTTCTGAACCTTCTTCGATGTATAGGTTTCACACGATGTTTTCCTTCACTGAAAAGCTCGTGGTAAATTTCAAATTAAATTTGATGTTAGACAGAAGCCCGGATTCGACCCCTCGGCCATTGTTTGAGAGGCTGTAGGTCATTCCAACCATTAGACCATCACGGCATAATAATTAGTTGTTATTATTGTAATGCTGATTTCTAAAACTTAATAATAATGTATTTATAAAAAAATGTTATTCAAATAAAGAAAATTTCGTATGCACAATTATCAAAGCAAAAAGCATAAATTATTACAGCAATCATTAAATAAAGAATTAAACTTGTTTTTATTGATCATATGAATAGTCTTGATGGACTTGATTAAAGTCCATTTTCTTTTTAGTATGACAAGTCTAAAAAACTTTTTTCTGAGACAAATAGTAACAGTCTTTGGGCCTGTTTCGTATGGGGGTTTATTCGGTGACTTGTTTCTGTAAATACGAAAAATTAAAACAGCAGTAAACTAGTTTTCTACTTACGCACGGCGCAAGAAACTAATTCTACGGCCGAGTGTCGAATCAACAACTCCAGAGGATGCCTCTTAAAGAGGCGAAACACGTGTCGGGTATATTTTTGGTGGTGGTGGTTTTGGTGACTGTAGTTGCGCTTGTGTTATTTGTTTTATTAATTGTATACGAAGCTACAGACCGGTTTTTTTATAATATCAAGTGACGGGACGAATAAGTCGTGAGCACGATGATAAGCTACACGCCTGTCCATAAAAATTACAGTGCCAGTTAGAGTTTTAAATTGCAAAGATTTGAGAGGCACTGCCACTGCGCCCATCATCCTGAGACGTAAGTTGACAAGTCCCATGTGCCAGCACCCTCTTGCCCTTCAAAACCGGAACGCAGCAATCCTCACATTATCGCTTGGCGGTAGAAATGAGTTTGTAAGGTGGCAGTACTTCCCTGGACGAACTCTTTCACAAGGAGCTCTACTGGAGTATTTTAAATGAAATGTATTTTCACTTCCTAACTTAAAGTCATTGCTAATTCATTGTTTTCCGGCAAATACTGAGTGAATTACCCATAATACATTATTATTACATTTAGAATTAACAAACACACAAACTATCATTATTCTCAGGGTCCTCATTTACTTGGTCTTGTTATACTATGCTATAACGACCGGTCTTGTGTTGCTCGCGTAATATTACACTACATATAGCCAGATCTCAAAATCCTTCACACATCCATATCACTCGTAAAGAGCGGGCATTCGCACAAGGCGGTGATATCGCCCTTCACAATATCACAGCAACATTAATCGTATTAATTGACAAGATAAATCGATTGAACTTTCAACTCTTTTACTAATGCTCTTTGATTTCGTCTTTGTCCCCACGTACATGAGGTAAGTTCCGATGTATTTACGCCATTGCAACTTCAGTTGGCAGTTCTTTCTGTGTTTTCGCTTGTGTAACCATTGTTTATACCATAGGTACCCAAACTTAGGCAAAATAAAAAAATTTCTACGCCCGCCACCACAAAAAATAATTGAAAAAACCCTATTTTTTATATTAACACAAAAAATCTTTAAAAAAATATTTTTTTTTTCAAATGCGGTAAACCTCTGGACAGCATCAACGCTTCCATTGTTTCCTACCGCCACTCTAGTGCCCTTCAGCGCGCACTGGGGGGTGGTAAGGATCACTTTGGGAAACTGTGATCTATACTTTATGTCAAGACATTCAAGTCATTAACCAATACTACAATGCAACCAACCTTACATTCAACCCGCTAACCGTCTAACAAACCAATTAGTCAATCAATCATCCAATGTTAGCAGTGTATAATATAGTTATGTAATCATTATTGGAATAACTCTAAAATTTACTTGTAATCTCATATAAAAATTTCAAAGATTTTGCTATCATTCGGCGAAAGGGCAAACAATACACCTCATCACGTTTTTTTTATATTGGTGAGTTAAATCCACGGCCACGCGTCTGTCTTGCACGTGTTTTATCTTATGTGTTTAATAAATAAATAATACGTTTTATATGTGTACTCACATATAAAATCGACATTACACGTTTTACGTAAGTATTTAAGACGTTTTTACTCGTATTGTCCGCATATAAGATGACTTATAGCTGAATTTTGAGGGGGATTACTGAGCTCTTATGTCTTCTTGGGAATTTTCATCAGAGGAAATACTGTGTCCGAAACTGGCGGTATAGTATTTGGTACCTATTACAAAAAAACCATCTTCCCTGTTGACATTAGAATGTTTTTTAATTTCAATGAACTTATTTTGCAAAGACCTGGGGTTTATTGAACTTAATTTAACGTGTAGGATTAGTGTAATTTTTGAATATGACGTATAGTTCTTTTAAAATTAATAACGAATTAATATTAAATTTAAAAAAGCACAAGTGCTTTAGTTACTTACTTTGGGATCAGAGTAATGAATGTGATGTTGTCTTATATTTATATTATATAATATTTATTGAATTGCTTTTATTAAACAAACGATCTTTCTAACATTTCAGAGTTTTTTTTCATTTATTGTACGATTTTGTATTGGGTTGACCTGTGTCCAGCAGTGGACTGCATAAGGCTAATGATGTATGTACTATA